TGCGATTCACGTAGGCGAGTGAGCTTTACATGTGTGGTGGCTCGCTCTGTTCGTTTTTCAAAAGTTTTCAGACGTTACATTATCATTATGTGCATGTACACGTACACACACAAGTAAAGCTCACTCACCTTCGTGAGTTGCAAGAACTATACACGAATACCAGTTATTCTTATTAACCAAGTAGGTTTAAAATGTTTGTGTTAGTGAAATGCGTTCATAACAATAACAATAGTTCAGCGGCTCGGATTCACGACCCTGAAATCAAATGAAATCCTGAAAATTAATTCGTGAGCTGAATGGAATATAACAGTGACATTAACAAACTTATCGTTAAGTAGGTATTTATTCCATCTTTATAAAATGTCAAAAAACATAATATCTCTGAAATATTATATTATGTTTATATTGAATTGAAAATATTTTTATGTCAAGTAAATTGTGTCACCCATGAAAGACGAAATGTACCTAGTAAAAATATTTTAAGCCTACCGGATAGATTTTCTCCATTATGGCCAACTAAGTTATTATATAGGAATTTTCCGTAACAAAGTATTCCTTACGGGAATTATTGGAAAGTAGTTAATAGTAGTTTCTTTTTAGCCTTCTAGAGAACAGAGACAATGGAAACAAACATGGTTAGTTCTTTATTGAACTTTAATTAGTACAGTAAAGACTATACTAATTAAAGTTCGTTGTACCTCAATCCCCAAACTTTTGTTAGACCAAAAGTTTTGGTATTCAGGTACAACAAAGTTTTCTCAACAATACGTCTTATCAATGTAATCCATAGGTACCTACTTTAAATATTTTTGAAAGAAAAACGCGTGTGAATTAATTCACACTATGAGACAGACAATTTTCACTTAGGTTAAGCAACTGAGGGTAAAGCTACTCACAGTGTTATATATTTTTATATTGTGATTTCTAAATCGCTGTAGCTTATTTTTCAGAACCGAAAAGAAATATTTTTGGATTTCAAAGGAGCAGTCGTCGGCATATAAAGCTATTTTTATTTGTAATAAACACCAAGTTTGCAAACTGCTTTCGACTATAAATACTTTTTGCAGATGGTCATGGGCTGCATATTTTGTAAATACTCGCAGCCAAAGCCGTAAGAATTCCAGCCTGCAAGAATTATAAAAAATATTTTTAAAATCATGCCAGTCATCAAGAAGCCCCCATCACACCCACGAGCGGTGCGTTTACACAAACGTCTCCGCCGTCTAAAACTTCAATATACCACCGCAAAACGTTGAAACTTTACCAATTTACTTTTTTATTTGCCGCCGCGATTTGCATGGCCCGAGACGGTGTAGCGATTCCTTTTCCAATTTCGAACTTGTACAAAACTCTAGGTGACTTTGTAAATGCGCGATTGGATTTTGCATACTCAAATTTTGCGTATTTATTATGCGGCGGATTTTGAGGATATTATGAATTAAAACTTTGGTTTAAAAAAAAGCTAAATGTTGTACTTCATAATAATTACAGCGTGAATTAAATGTCAATTTCGTGACGTGTCACATAAACGTGACGCGCGTTGAAGTGTCAGTATGTTTTAATTTCTTCCTTCGCTTCAAATGATTGGCACGTAAACACAAACGCCACCAACCGGCCATTGCGGAAATCATTAAGGGAGGCCTATGTTCAGTTAGTCCTATGGCTGAAATGATGAGGATGATGATGAAACACAAACGTACGTCAGAAACTTTTACATTTATTCCATTATTAGCAAGGAAATAGGATAAACATCTGATGATCGTGCCAAGTATTATAGATAGACTAAAATATCAATGTCAATACAATTAAGAAACACACCAAAACAATTACGGCGTCAATTAAGTTATGTCAGTTTCGTGACGTGTCACACGAACGTGACGCGCGTTGAAGTGTCAATGCGGCTTAATTTCTTCCTCCGCGTCATTCTGACATGATTGATTGGCACGTATTTGCACTTTGACGCGATCGGCACCGGCTGAATAAAACCATCACGTGAAATGTAAGTGGAGTGTTATTGTAAGGCTGCGTACACAACGACGTTCCAAATATTCTAAATTTGAAATTTAAAGTTTAATATTTTATTGTTCACTAACAACTAAATAATGAATATGTTTATTGAACTGGACAAGGGAATACTAGTCTAAGAGACAGTACAAATTAATCAGAGTTATCTAAAAAATCTAGATATTTTCGTAAGATAGCCTTGATTAACTAAGCAATTTTTTATACAAAGAATCCAACAAACTTTATATATTTTGAAGGGCTGATCGAGTCTTTGTATACAAAAACTGACTATTAAGGTAAGGCAGAACAAAATATCAATTTCCGCTACATATTTTTAGAAGGAAAAAAAATATATAATTATGTACTAGAGAATAAATTTTATTTTTTAGAAGTAATGAAGACATGAAACGGTTAAAACCTCCACGTGAATTTTACATAAAAATCACGTCCGGACGTTGAGTCGGCGAGCCGGTATTTTTTCTATCACTGTCTGCCTTTGCATTTTTAATTCGTGTAAAAACGTTGCATTTTTCCACGAAAACGGCCTCAATTTGCGTGCCGTATGTGTGTACACGTCCTTATTTGACGTAGATACGCTTTGATATTTTGAATACGATGTCACGGTACCATCTTTGAAATTGTTTCAATGCCTTACAAGAGCATGTCATTAGGGACTATATTCGATTGATGTAAAATCGATACACGTTTAAGCTGGTGGTAATTAAATTCCCATTTCGCTCGTATTTTGAATGTGTGGAATATTCCAAACTGAACCTTAACAATTTTGTGTTGCCTCTGTGTTAGTTCGTATTCAGACGTGCGGAACAAAACCTTTTAAATTCAATATGGTTGTATCAATAACTTATTTTTGGTATGTTAGTATAGTATATTGTAGATGGACTTCGTAATGAAATGTCAATCCAATAGACAGCGACTAAGGTAATTTCGTAGGTACTTCCAAATTTTCCGCGCTAATCCATCGTTTGTATTTAAAAATAATTATAATTAGTATTGATATCTTCACTAATTATACATAATTATGTATGTTTCAAGCATGTTTGAATTTAATTATTAACATTAAGTTCGTATCTACGATGACTTTGACTTGACTTAATTTTAGGCACCGAAAATAGCGTCTTACGTCATAGTGTAAAACTGAATCAGGTTCGTATTACGGCCGGTTCACACATGTCTGTCATGAATTTCCGGGAAAAGATCGGACTGCAAATTGCGTGATCTGAATTTACTGTTTATGTTTACGCAAACCTGTCCTTACAACCTTCATAATAAGGTCTGCAAGTGTTTCTTTTAATTGAAGTTCTGCACAGTAATTAAGTTATAAATTAAAGCAAGCAAGTCCGTACCGAGTGCAATGTAAATGAAATTGCAGGCGGCACGAATCTTTGTTAATTTATAATGGAAATCTAAAATATGCGGGCTGTAAAGAGGATTTATTTACGTAAATAAAACCTTCTTTAACCAAAATAAATTAGATTTAGATTGTTTGTGTACCCCCCTTTTTAACTTGTGAAGATTTTTTCAAGAATTGAATGTGGAAAGCGATGAGTAAGAGATAGAATAAGGAATTTGTCCAGCAGAGTCTTGAGGTACAGTTGATGAAAGAAATGTTGTGGATGATAATTATTATTAAACCTTTTATTGCAACCGTATTCGCGTTTCAGGAAACAGAAAAGTGACTTACAAAAGTTTCTATCTTTTTTGTCATATTTCCATTTACTTTTGTATAAAATAAAAAAAAGACATCTTAATTTTACAAAAACATCCCTAATGTAGTTCCTTTTGTGTGTTTTGGCACAAACGCTGGAAAAGTTTCAGTACACAGCACCCTGTAGGTTAAATCACAGGGAAATGTGAAAATTTACTTTTACTCCAAACGTGTTTGAGTTTGCGCATTAGGAGGATCCTGTTGGGACAGGAATTACAATTTTGTTTGTCCAACTTTGTTTAGTTACACTGTCGTACCACGGGAATGTTCGCACCATGGTCATGGTTTTCTATTTTTCATCTAAATTCGTGTAAATTCACTACGGTGTGAACCCATATGCGTTAGCCTATAGGCGTAACATCTCTCATACCTAGCCCTTCCTTTTACTTCTGCTAAAAGGCAAGTACACGTAAAAGCTTGTGTTTGACATACCATTCTTTTAATTTTAGCAGTTCAAATTCAAATTGTTTCTCTTAAGAATTTACAAATAATATTCGCAATTTATTTAATGTAAGTACTAGGATTTTTTAAGGCACGGACTCTAAAAAGGTCTCTAATAAACCTTGAAATAACCTAACAAGTGAAATCGAAACTTCGTCTGCGAATATCTTTAAACTGAACCAATATCTTTCAGAATCGCTCGACAGATTTTCAGATAAAAACATTCACTAGTGTCCGAACCAGTTCAAACTAACCACAAGACCAAAGAAACATTGTAGTAGTTTCAAAACAAAAAATCCTCGTTCCTCCAACTCCTGTTCAAGTTTCCACGTTAAAAATCGGCAGGACCGACGGCCGTAGTATTTTATTGTGTGGAATATGCCCGAGATAACTTCGAGTTTTGTAAGAGATTGTAAAATAAAATTATTGTACTGATGAATGAGTTTATACTCGAAGCTGCCGTGGAATATTTTTAACACAGGCTTTAAAAATCCTTTTAAGTTTTGCATCACGTTAAAAAAAGGAAAAATATAAAAACAGCGAACAGGATTTTAAGCTTGTTGCAAATTGCCTGTACTAAGTACACTAAATACTCAAAGGTATTTTATTCCCTAGACGGAGTTAATCAAATATTTCATAAGAACTTAGGGAAAATAGACACGCACCAACTTAAGTAATTGAGGCTTAGAACGAAGAGAGCTAGAATGACTTTCTTAAAATAAGTGGTAATGTCAACTTACCGTATTTGCTCCTTGCTCAAAACTTTGAAATTAGAAATTGTCCAGCATTTTTATCAAGCTCAAGATCTGACTCCGAAATTTGTCTACAGTGCCCCCGGACATCATAAGCGACGACACATCATCAGACGTCTCCGTCCAGGAGTTGGAGAACGCCACCCTCACCTGCAAAGCTACGGGACACCCTCCTCCGAAGATCACTTGGAGGAGGGAAGACCACGAGCCTATACTGCTGAAGAAACCACTGTCAAGAGAGTTTGATAAAGGTTGGTATTCATCATCATCATTTCAGACACAGGACGTCCACTGCTAAACATAGGCCTCCCCCAATGACTTCTACATCGCACGGTTGGTAGCGGCCTGCATCCAGCGCCTTCCTGCTACCTTTATCAGGTCGTCGGTCCATTTTGTGGGTGGACGTCCCACGCTGCGTTTTCCGGTACCGATGGTATGGATGGTAGGTTGGTATTGATGTTGTAAAATAAAAGTAAAGGGCAATATGTGAACATATTCAGACCTCTCTAACCCCAGTGTAGTGTTGGTTAAATCCTCCATTTGCTTTTGGCAAATTAGAAAAAGTTGTGCTCCTGTATGGCTATATGACGATGATGGTATGAATATTTCTTTAGTGACATAAGTATGGAAATTTTGTTGTTTGAGACACCCAAAAGGCTGTAGTGGCCGCATAAAGATTTTTTTGATAAATGAAATGTTCGCAAAAATCTAGTTTTTAAGAAAAATCTTAAAGGAAATAAGTTGGAAAGGTAATTTAGATAGGTAGATTTATATTTTCAGTGTAAATAGATATTTTTCAGTTACTTGTTTTTGAACTTTATGAGGCCAATTAATTTACTTCTGTTCAAAAATATCAAATAAAAGCAAATTCGCTCGCAGATATCGGATCCTTAATTAAAATTTGACTTTTTCACGTAAACTTTAACCCTCGTAAGCCTGGCACAGGTGTGTTTACAAATTGGTGGGAGGAGGAGGTCTTGGTTATACCCCAAAAGATGATTAGTAAGTAGGTTTACTCATAACAACTTCCGAAAGATTTTGTGACGTTTTGCCCATACCAACCTCCATAAGTCTGAAAAATTTCTAACTAGAGAAATGATACCAGATGAAAATAAAAAAATAATTTCATAATGTTAAATCTTAGAACTTGAAGAATAGGTAACAGTGAAGTTACAATATTTATGAAATGTTTATATGAATTTCACAAGCACTTCGTAGTGGTGGCTGAAAAAGAAACAAAAATTTCTTTCCACACGGGTATGTAAAGCACTAACAGCAGTTCAGTACCAGCGTAGGTTAAATTGAAAACTGATTAAGGTAAACGCATGTAAACAAGAGTGGAGTGCACTCCTACTCATCCATACGAGTAGGTACTCATACGAACCGGCTTTTAAGCGATTTTAAGAACTCTTTTAAGCATAAGCCTACTGGTTATATTTTTATTACAATCTTCCTTTCACACCTACACGAACCAAGATAATGAGTGCCGGGGTATCGTGCATGCAAGCAAGGAAATAATTTCTGTAATAGCAAAATTAAGGTAGATCGCCTACAAGAAGAGGTATAGAGTTGTATTGAGTTGTCTTACGTTAAATCATTAGGACGGACTAATTGCAATTTGGACTGGAGTTTGAAGGAAGATATTAATTTAAAGGTCAGGTAGAGCGACTTTCGCTTGAATACCATGATTTATCTTGTTCTCACGTCATGTCCTGATAGATTTATTGGATTGTTTTGTTTGACATTCCAGAAGGTTTCCTACCCCCTACTCTTCCCGCGGGTGTCGTAAGAGGCGACTTAGGGTCCACACATCAAACAGAGAACGGGCAGCAGCGCTCTCTGAAAAACATCAATCTTTTAAACTGCGATCTCCAACCCGCCTGCCAAGCGTGGGGATTATGGCAAAACCCTCCACTATAGTGGAGGAGGCTCATAGTCCAGCAGTGGACTGTAAAGGGCTGTTGATGATGATGATGACCTATTTAATTTAAAGTCCCAAGTTCCATGACTACGAGTATACTTATTAATAATTATTTTTTGCACTATCGCTGATCTTGTTGACACAATTCTAAAATTGTAAGACCACCTCACCTATTGATCAGTAATATGATTTCACACAATAGCATAGCTTAGCATAATAATAAATCTTATTACCTAATGTATCGAGTAATAAGTTTCTTTATTTTACAACGAAAGTAAAAAATCTCTTGTAAAATGATATTTTAATAAAGTACACGGCAAGATACTCCAAAATGACTCGCTTATGAAGCAACTCCGCTATTATGTCCTTTGTTGTCCCATACGCGTCTTTACCGTCCCTAATTCAGAAAGGAATGAGCCTCGGTGGCGCAACAAAACGGAATGGCTAATGTTTTGCATAATATTAGCATATAACATAGCATTAGTAGGTCCAGAAGTCTCCCTTGTCTCTTAGTTTATGGCCTAACAAAACAGAATCTAAAAAAGTTGATAATATCTAACTACATAACCAATTGGATGTCGTTACATTAAGCCTATTACTGCATAGTTTTAGGTTACTGTAATAAGCCCGATTTTCCTATAAAACTACCGCAGCAATATTCAATATTCATAGATCAATTCATAATTTGGCGTTAAGTTTTAAGTATGTGGAGCGCGCAGGCCGCTACCAACCGTGCGATGTGGAAGTCATAGGGGGATACCTTTGTTCAGAAGTGGACGTCCTGTGGCTGAAATGATGATGATGGGGGGTGTATTATTACTATTATCAGAGTTTACAAAGAAGCATCTACTAATGTCATGTAATAGGCGCTAAACTCTGCTAGACAAATGTATTGTCTGATGTGCTGTTGACAGTAGAACTCTCTTTTGTTTTAATTAACAAAGTTTGTTATTGTTTTCCGGCCGTTTGGTGTAGTGGTTCGAAACCGACTGCTATTCCAGAGGTTGTGGGTTCGATTCTCGCACAGTACAAACATTTGTGTGCATGAACATATTTGTTTGTATTCTATGTATAAAATGTATGTATTTAAAAAAAAAGTATTAAAAATTTCCATTTATTAGAGAATAAATTTTATAATAATACATTAACTTAAAATGTATGTATGTTTATATCCGTTGTCTAGTACCCATAATACAAGCTTTGCTTAGTTTGGGACTAGGAGCGCAGTGTCAAATGTCCAAGGATATTTATTTATTTATTGTTCATAAATATACATATTATAATTTTAACTGTCAATCTGCTGGCTAGAACTTACTGATTTCCTTTATCTTATGTACATAACAGTCTTTGTGGTTCGTGTATTTTTCTCCCTTTTGTGTCTTTGAGACCACTCTTTACTCACCTTTGTTGATAAATAATTAGGACTGCAAATTATCTACGAGTGTACGCAGAAAGGATAAAATGTACATTAGTATTATTAGAGAAAGCCACATAAGAAGAAACCTTTAAGGCTGGGCAAAACTCTGTCAAATTCCAAACAAAAAGCACCGGTTATCGTTATACGCAACGGTCAAGTTAGGTGGTGCAACTCAGCCTAAGTAGGTGTGATATAAAGTGTAGAAACATCAGAGATTGTAGCAATACAATAAATAAAACGCGAGGTGCGAAACGACGATATTTTGTGCCTAAGAAATTAGAAATGTCAAAAATATGGTTTGTATGGCCTGTATTTACGTGTGTTTGTTACTTATGATCTTAAAGAGTTATTAGCCAAAGGATAAAGTTTGTAAGAAAAGCTAAAATATTTATTTTTAACCGGAAATAAAATTGGTACCCATATTCTATCTAACCATATAGTTAGTATATTTTTTTAAGCTTTCAAAGCAGATGAGAAAGTATTGTTTTAAAATAAAATGCAAAATCATTCAAATAATGCACAATCACATTGATTTAGGTTGTTTTCATCTTCATCTTTGTTCTGACAATGAAGATGTTCCTTTTCTGACATAAACATTTCTACTCCTCGATAATTGCGTTTTCTCGGGAAGAAAGATCGTAGCTGTCAAATGTCAATGTCATTCGAGAATGCTTCTCAGGAAAAGAGTTATCGGATTCGCACTTAAAAGCTTGAAGGATATCTTCCTAGAAATGAATACAATGTTACTTGTTACCATGGTGTGCAATATTTCATATTGGTTTATCCTTTTTTAGGGTTTCATAAGTCAAACGGAAAATAGAGAAGCCTTATAAAATTAAGGTGTCTATCTACATCTGCCTGTCAAGATAATTTTCTTCGTAACGTTAATTATAGAAAGACATATAAAATGTTTATTTGGCATCAAATTGCATGCAATGTTAAACAACAGGTAGATGTAGTTTATGGGGGTTAGTTGTTGATTTTAATATCGAATAGGCAACAAAACTCCTAAAATCATTATTATTATTATTAATAAACTCCTACAGCACATAGAGCTGTGTATACCTTTTTAACGCAATAGGTGCTTATTGCGACAATATTTTATTGTAAGATGTCGTAGTGCTTAAAGTTTATTATGCTGTCCAAAGTAGGTACGAAGGTACCGAATTTTAAACTTTCGCGATCCATTTCGAGTTAAATAGTAATTAGAATTAAATATTGAGTTAAGACCCGCGTCTTTCTCTATATGTATGTATTGACATATAAGGTACCGAATGTCATAGATTTATTATAATGTACAGATAGATGACACTCGTAATACTTATTCCGTCATTAATGATCAAAGTGCGTGTAACGTTCCTTGATCAATAGATTATATCCATTTCATCGTTCGTAACGATATTCAAAAAGTCATTTATATTTTATCAATTTGTGGCAGTATACGCTGACTAAGAAATTGTGCCTAAAAAGCTATGTCGATTTTGTCATTTTTAAATGAAAGAAGATTTATAATATTCATTTTTCATCAGTTTGTTGTAAGAGTATTAAAAATATTTTCTGCCTAGACAGAATAAAACTATTTTGTTATGCGAACATAAGATCTTCCCAGCCCATCAGTCTGGTCAGCGTGGGCATAGTTCCACAATTCTCCATTTGCCTCTGGCAAATTAGAGAGAGTCGTATAGTAAGTAGAGTTTTTTTTATTTGTCCAGTGTGCGTCTAGTATGATCTGATGATGACGATGATTTTTTGTTCTGTGCAGTGGAGAGCTACGTGGGCTCTCATAAAACTGTGGCGCTAAATTAGAAAGGATCGTCCTCTTGATTTGGAGACTAAATGACATAATGAAGATGATTATTTTTTTCAGTGGAGAGTTACGTAGGCAGCTCCCTGCCTTTCTGGTTATCCTTCTAAAGAGGAAACTAAATAAATGACTTGATGATGATGTTTTTTTTATCCAGTGGAGAGCTACGTGGGCAGCTCCCTGCCTCTCTGTACCTCTAGCACGAACAACTTTAGATTTCGAATCGTTTGCGTATTCGAACCGCCATCAAACGATTTAGTATGAAACTAAAACAGCGCCCATGTGAACGCATCGTAAAGTGAACTTAGCATGAGAAATGGTTGCACGAAACTTATTTTGACAATCATTGTCAAGTTATCGTTTAATGCGAAGGTGAGTATCGAATTTTTTGGAATACGCAAACGATTTGAAGACGAAAACTTTCGGTTCATGCTATAGGTAGTAGTTATCCTTCTGAAGAGGGTACTAAATTAATGACCTGATGATGATAATGATGATTGTTTTGTCCAGTGGAGAGCTACGTGGGCAGCTCCCTGCCCCTCTGGCGGGTGGACCGGCGGCAGATGGGCGCGTTCCTCTGCATCGCCTCCAACGACGTCCCTCCCGCCGTCAGCAAGAGGATCATACTTTTAGTCAACTGTAAGTACCTCATCGTCATCCATAATTTCAGCCATAGGACGTCCACTGATGAACATAGGCTTCCTCCAATGATTTCCACAATGGCCGGTTAATGGCGGCCTGCATCCAGCGCCTTCCTGCTATGAGGTCGTCAGTCCATTTTGTGTATGTGTGTGTCCGTATGTACCTAATTGATAATTATTTGTTACGTTGTTCTGAATCATACTGCCTTAGTGCCTTTCCAACCCATCTGGCCAGTGTGAGGAGTGTACACCATCATTTGCCTATGGTCATAAGAGTCACGCTTCTGTCTTCTTCTTTGTTGCTAAGTACACTTTTGACTGAGTAGTCGTGGGCGTCACGCCTGGTTTTGGTGGAAAGCTTCACAATCCGTCGCCATTCCTCCCGTATTGATCAGATTGTCGTGAATTCCTCATTACGAGTACGTACGTATATTTGTCTTTCTCACACATTCTGTCTTTCACATTCAGATGCGTCTTAAAATCCGAAAAAAGAAATAGACGTAGCTAAGCAGAAACGCAATGTTTTTCGAAACAGCAATCACCGTAGGTATCTAAACCTCCAAATTGAAATGGGAGCGGGTCCGCCATGTTTGTGTGTATTCGCGATACATTGATAAGCCAGGGGTTGTTTAACTAAAATGTTCGTATAAAACCCTCAAACCTGAATTTGTATTCCGCACTGCTCCCAAAAAGCAAACATAACACCGCGCACATTACACAGTCAATGTAATGAAAATATACACCCGAATAAAAGTGTAATATTTATAAGAATCGAATAAAAACCGGCTATACGGTTCCAATGGCTCGATAAAGCGTTTGCTCGTAATGGGAACGGGTCACGTTACTGAAAGACGGATTGGCCTATTCTGGGCGAGTTCCAGGGGATTATTATGTTTTCTTTTTAAGATGTTTGGGAATCAAATACCACATGTTGCGGTTATTGCAGTTTCTCTTTGAATGCTAGTGAAGACAATGTGCTATCTCGTTTATTATTGTTTTTATACCTGCTGCGACGTTCCTCGCTATAAAGTGCTATAAATGTTTCTATCTAAAATTCCTTTTACTTGTGCGATCACTTGTAGGTTATGAGCCTTCTTCTTTTTTTACTTTTTTAACTGAGATTGATGTACACTTGAATAAAAAGGAAAAAAGAAATGAATTATTTCAAATAGGTAGCGTAGCCTAGTTCTAGTATTGTCACCATTCTTATGGTGTGGTGTAAAACGCCCTTCTTGACAAATATCACTTACGAAAGGTCACTAGCAGAATCTGGACGTAACAAGCCATAGATAAGGTAAAAGGGAGCATATGTCCAGTGGCCAGCTACTATTTATGTAACTGATGATGATGTAGCAAATGGCTATGTTAATAATTAAATCATGAGCATGATAACTATTTTAACAAACATTTCTTGACGACCGTAAATATTTAACTTTATTTTGTCTTCAACAGTTGCCCCTACAGTAAAAGTGCCAAACCAGCTGCTCGGAGCGCCTCTGGGCACGGACGTGAAGCTGAAGTGTTACGTGGAAGCTTACCCCAACACGATCAACTACTGGATCAAGAACAGGGGGGAGATGCTTCTAGACGGGTAAGTCCACGCTACCAACGCGACATTGCGCTACACAACGTGACATGACGCTACATTTTACAACTAATGTACAGTTTGCACCAATTTATTTAATAAATGGCTGTAAATATGAGAGTCAAGCTACTAATTAGACATGGCGCTACAAGACGCGACACGATGCTACGCTATACATTGTATAGCGTAGCATCGTGTCGCGTCTTGTACATTAGTTGTATAGTATACAACTAATGTATATTTCACGCCAATTCATTTAAATTACTGTAAATACGACAGCCACGCGACTACACGACATTGTGCTACAATACGCGACACGACGCTAAGCTATACAAATAATGTATAGTTTTGTGCCAATTCATTTAATAAAATGCCATAAATATGAGAGCGACACGACTACGTGACAGTGCGCTACAATACGCGACTCTACAGTAGGCTATACAACTGTCTACCCATAGTTCGCGTTGATTCAATCAAGTAATTGCTGTAATTACAGCAATGATATGACAAACTTTTTTCACATACTGGTGGTTGACTATTAGTTATTTTACGAAATAAACTTTCTTGTTCATTGCCATTGTTTAAAATGTTGTCTCAAGTCACTTTATACACAAGCGCAGTCGACTCTAAAGTATCAAAGTGTGTCGTATACAAGTTTCCATAGATAAATAATACTTATTTGTCCGCTTCGTCCTTTGTTATGTTGCCCCAAGATGTTTGCTCTCGGACCAGATGGAATTGGTGCGGTTGAATTTGAAATCTTTATAACATTATGGACTTAGAAACATTAATTGTAATTATGAAACAGTACCTACTTATTAGTGCCGCAACAATAATGCCACTTTTAATTTGAAAATTATACAGGTTGTTAGGTAAATGGGTATATGAGCCGACACTAGCCCATGTTTAACATGGTCATATAAATGGTATGGTGGAGTCAGAAAATTGATATCTTAATTTTAATTATTTTAATTTAAATACAAATCGGATTTTATAAAATTTATTTTGTATAAAAATTAAAAAAAATAAAATGATGATATCAAATTTCTGACCTCAACATACCATTTATATGACCATGTTAACATGGGCAAGTGTCGGCTCATATACCCATTTACCTAACACCCTGTATAATATATTTGATTTTTCGATGGTATTTTGACAACAAGATAGTCTTTCTGTGCTGTGTTGCTATAGAAGTTTCTCGATAGCAAAGCGGACAACATAAAAAAAGATACCAACCGAATTGAGAACCTCCTCCTTTTCTTGAAGTCGGTTAAAAATATACCAAAGGCGAAATCAACTTATTTTCCTACTTTTCTTTGTTTTCTTCTACCACATTACGTTTGCCATTCAAAAGGCATTGAAAGCTTGAATCGAATATCATCTACGTATAATATAACACTCTAAAAGCTTTTGGATGTGCACATCAGTCAAAATAAGAGTTAAACGAGCCTGAAAGTATCCTTAAGAAGGCAGGTGATAAATATTTTTTTTTTATTCTTATTCTTTTTTTCGTCTGGCAGCCCTGCCTGTCAGACGTACTTAGATCAGCTGTTAGATTAATTTTAAGATAAATTATAAAATAGTCGTAATAATGTATCAAAATACACTTAATTAGTGAAATAAATGTGTAAATATCGTGTACAAGTGTTTGCAAAACTGGACTTGGTGTAAACACATAGTTATAAGGAGATAAAATCGGCGACCAAATTGACAGCTACGACCAACGTACAAAATTAAATCGGAGCCACCGTTTAAACCAGGGGAGTACTGTTTTCAAAAATACTGTTTACTTTAGGTCTATATATGTTAAATATTAATTTTGTATTTCAAAATAATTGATATTGCAATCTGTTTGAGGTTATATTTTTGTGGTTTTCAATCATTAAACATTGCTTTGTCACTTTCTTTATGGGAAGTAAATTGCAATCAAACAGTACAACAATATACTCCACAAACCTCATGAAAATGAGATTCTATACAATTCATTACGATTCGGCTCTGTTGTGCCTCTCTTTACTTGACAATAAGTGGAAGTAAAGTTGAAGATAACAACACCTTGGCCGCAGACAAACTTACTCAGCACACTCAACAATATACTTTTTGACACCTCACACATCTTTTGTTTGTTTGATTGTTAATAGTAAGATCAGGCCTGGCTCACTCCGCGCGGTACATCCGATAATTACCTACAGCGAAGCGCCCCGCCGGCGGGTATTATATCAGTCGAGTGTCACGCGCGGGCCCGTCAGGACGCTGGCGTGCGTTGTAGTAACTACCTAATTCTATAATCGAAGTATTATTTAAAAATGGACATAAAGAGAAAGAAATATTGTGCGGCGTTCGGGTGTTTAAATTCGAAAAGAAATCTACCGGATTTATCTTTTTTTTCGCTTCAAAGATGCTGAAAGGTATGATGGCCATGTAGGTAATCAATAATTCTTACGATAGTAATATAGGAACCTAACCTACCATGACTACTGCTCAGAATGCGTTCGTTCGTTTCAGCCAAATGACGTCCACTGCTGGACAAAGGCCTCTCCCAAGGTTTTCCATAATGAATGCGTAGGTACTTACCTACATACGTACCTCATTACAAATAAGTAGATTAATTATTTTTCACTAGACAGCAACCCTAACAGCGTAAGAAGAGTTCAGAGGCACGCGATAGAAAGAGACAAAACTTGTAGGTGAATAAAATTGTAGGTACGTAATGCTGTGCGAGCTGAATTCCACTGTATCGCGTCGTAGCAAGACTCGCATTTATTTAAATCGTCTTGCGGAGTAATCCTTCTGTACCTGTACTATTACTTATTCTGTGGTAAGATGTAATTTTAAACCTTGTTGAAAGCTAAAAATGTTACCCGCAGAAAAAAAATACAGTATAGTTTTCAATATTACTATTTGATTAATAATAATTTATAAAAAACTTTTCATGATAGTTGTATTTTGTGGAGTTAAAATTATAACTAAAGCTTAAAATTTCAAATTATAACTGTTATAACTCGTACCCCCTATTTTGCATAAATATCCACTGTACACTTCCTTTGGATAATTTCAGACAAAAACCACATTCAACATGCTCACACGCAGAGCAGCGGCACAAGCCATTGAGCTGAAACTTAGGAGGGCACTCGAGGAACTGAAACAGAGTCAGGAAAGCTGTAACCAACTCATTAGGGAAAGAGAAGAGAGTGAGGAGGAAATTACCTATATAATAAAAAAAAATACTGAACTGAAACAAGAATTGGCAGAACTGCATGGCCGTCTCCAGGAGGTAACCGAACACCGTGATGAACTACTGCATAGAATCAGTANAAAATATTACCCGCAGAAAAAAAATACAGTATAGTTTTCAATATTACTATTTGATTAATAATAATTTATAAAAAACTTTTCATGATAGTTGTATTTTGTGGAGTTAAAATTATAACTAAAGCTTAAAATTTCAAATTATAACTGTTATAACTCGTACCCCCTATTTTGCATAAATATCCACTGTACACTTCCTTTGGATAATTTCAGACAAAAACCACATTCAACATGCTCACACGCAGAGCAGCGGCACAAGCCATTGAGCTGAAACTTAGGCGGGCACTCGAGGAACTGAAACAGAGTCAGGAAAGCTGTAACCNATTAATTTTGTATTTCAAAATAATTGATATTGCAATCTGTTTGAGGTTATATTTTTGTGGTTTTCAATCATTAAACATTGCTTTGTCACTTTCTTTATGGGAAGTAAATTGCAATCAAACAGTACAACAATATACTCCACAAACCTCATGAAAGTGAGATTCTATATAATTCATTACGATTCGGCTCTGTTGTGCCTCTCTTTACTTGACAATAAGTGGAAGTAAAGTTGAAGATAACAACACCTTGGCCGCAGACAAACTTACTCAGCACACTCAACAATATACTTTTTGACACCTCACACATCTTTTGTTTGTTTGATTGTGTAAATTATTAATAGTAAATGTAGTTTTAATCCTTGTTGAAAACCAAAAATATTACCCGCAGAAAAATTGCAGAGTATAGTATTCAATATTGCTTATTTGACTAATAATAATTATAAAAAGGATTTCATGAGAGTTGCATTTTGTGGAATTAGATTAGAAATAAAGTTTAAAATTCAAATAATAACTGTTATAACTCATACCCCCTATTTTGCATAAATATCCACTATACACTTCCTTTGGATAATTTCAGACAATAAGTAAAATTTTATAAAAAAAAATAAAACCGACTCCAAAAAACCTACACTAAAACGTAGAAAAAATAATTACTAATTGCCTACTTATTTATTAGGACGAATTATTAATATTTATGTAGGTATACCATGATTGATACTTCTGGAGTCGGTGCCAAGATTATGAAACATGTAAAGTTTGCCTGCACCGCACGGTGATCAATAATGAGATATTAGGTGGATAATATTCAAATTTGACATTGTGAGGGTAGTTAAAACAATTCATCGNTAACCAACTCATTAGGGAAAGAGAAGAGGGCGAGGAGGAAATTACTTGTACAATAAGAAAGAATACAGAACTAAAACAAGAATTGGCAGAACTGCATGTCCGTCTCCAGGAGGTAACCGAGCACCGTGATGAACTACTGCATACAATCAGTACCTTCGACCAGTGCAGCAATATCTTTCAGCAGACCTTGATGCGCAACAATGAGTTAGAAGCTGAACTGAGGGACGCCAATAAGACCATACTGCACTTCGAAGAGGAACGAAAGCAGCAGGAGTTCACACACACTCTGAACTTATACGAAGAGCTAATTGGGAGTCCTGGTGGACGTGCAGTGCTACCAGACTTAAATGTATCTTGCGACACTAAATCATTTGAGAACGTTAGTCGGCCATTGACTTTTTCTAGTAGAAATAAATTAAAAAAGTATGTTAAAATTAATAGGTTTATTTCTAAAACAAAAAAATTAATAAAAGGGCAAGAACAGTTTCACAAAAGTATTCTGTTAAGGAAAAAGAATCTAGATTTGGTTGACAGTCTAGAAATTTACCACAGTAAACTAGTAGAGAGTAGGTCCACTCATAACTTGGACGTTGAAAGGTTGCAGGCTGAAATCACAAACTTGCATGACTCGCTTGCATCCATAACAGCTAAATATAATTCAGCCAGGGAACAAATTAACGAACATATCCTGGCAGCAAACAATCTCTTAGATCTAGGCAATCCTACTACGGATTTTAAATCTCTGCCAAACATAACAATGCAAAGTCAGCAACAAACTGATGGCGTTGTATGGGGCGATTACGTAGTTTGTCAAGGAGTATCGTTTGGGAAAACAAAAATTTCCAGTGTTGCCATACTTTGGAAGATTTGGTCAAAAAATGTAAAAAATGGAAATAACGACTTTCGGTCAGAAATTTGAATGACGCCTCCTGCAAATAGGTCAAACTAATGACATTTGACCATTTTTAGCTCGATGCCCTGGCAACACTGGGAGTTATGGAAACTCAAAATTTTGGGACATGGGTGGTTTTAAGGAATTGTTTTACGGGATTGGGTCAAGTTAGAAAAAAAGTAAAAATGGGGTTCAAAGCCCGAGAGTCGCCATAGATTAATTTTTATGTGTCAAAAAAGGACTAGAGCCCAGTGACAGACAGAAAGGCGAGGCCGAAGGCCGAGCGATGGTTCAAATCCCGAGAGTTACCATAGTTAAACTTGTGTTGCGTCAAAAAAGCACAAGAGCACAGTGACAGACAATAAACACCCCCTGTAATTTTTGCGAGGCCGAAGGCCGAGCTCCGAATGCGAGGCCGCAGGCCGAGCGCCGCGTAGGGCGAAGCCCGGAGCGGCCAGCATCGCAGATCTAGCTTTTGTAGCCCGCGTAGCGGGCGACCAAAGCTAGTTCTAAACTTCAGTGGGGTCCTCATATTGAAACCTTGTCAGCAAGGCTCAGTTCAGCTGCTTTTGCAGTGAGAAAGATAAGGCAATTAACTGACATTGAAACGGCAAGGCTAGTTTATTTTAGCTATTTTCATAGTATAATGTCATACGGCATATTGTTGTGGGGCTCAGCTGCGGACATTGAAACTGTGTTCGTTCTGCAGAAGAGAGCAGTGCGGGCCATTTATAACCTTGGACCCCGATTTTCCTTGAGAGAATTCTTTAAGGAGATTAATATACTGACAGTAGCTTCACAGTTCATTTATGAAAACCTTTTATATGTTCGCAAAAATATAGAGCAATTTACTAGAAAGAGTGATTTACACAAGTTCAATACAAGAAACAAAAATAAACTTGCCGTTCCAAATTTCAGACTGCACAAGATTGGTAATTCATTTATGGGGAAATGTATTAAACTTTTCAATAAAATACCACAAACTGTTGTAGAATTGCCCATTCATAAATTTAAAGCACATATCAAAAGCACCTTAATGAAAAAGGGCTACTATAAAGTTGATGATTATATAAAGGATAAAAATGTTTGGAATGTTTAACTACCTAGCTCGCATTAATACTTATGACTATAATTTGTATATTTTAAAGACTGTAAAACCTTGAAAAGGAGGCTGACAATAGTGACTGAGTTTCTTGCGCTGCTTCTTCTCAGCACTGGCCCATTTATTGTCCCGAAGCAGTGGTAGGGTTAATATTGGGACGTGTAAAAGCGCTTTTTTAAAGCCTATTTGCAAAAATAAATGAATTTTAATTTATGAATTTTATGAATTTATTGAAGCCGGTTAGATAAGCTGTATGAATAAATAAGAAGAAAATGATAAAATATGCTCTTAAATCTATTAGACTTAAGATGGAAATAAAATAGTTTTGAATGCTATTTTCTTCTGAAATATTATGATCCATTTTCATTTTTCGTAAAACTAAAGTCTTAGAGCTTTTTAAAATTGGTCAAATAATGGTTATTTTTATAATATGATACCTACTTTATCTTATAGTAATAAAGAACCTAGAACATGCTTTTGAAACCCATTTCTGTCAGTTTCAAGCTGTCCTAATCCAATAACAATTTTCGGCTCGTACGAGTCATCTTAATTTGACAGTTGTTGGTTTCACTCGTTAAAATGTAAATCTGAATTATTATCCCGTTTCTTAATAACTCAAAGTCCGTTAATAAGTAAAGTTAAAAATCGTGTCGCGTCGTGGTACGCTAACGGAAATAAATCGCCGGAAAATTTTCCACTCGCTTTTTTCCCAGGTGTTTAAACTAAGCATTTTTCCAGACCCAAGTACACTATCCGGGAAGAGAAGTCGTCATACAAAGTGTCAATGTGGCTGACCATCAGGCAGTTCTCCAAAAGCGACATCGGGACTTACAACTGTGTGAGCACCAACTCTCTAGGAAAAAGCGAGGGAACTCTTAGACTATATGGTAAGTTTTGTATTATTATTTAGTTTTCTGGGTAATTTAGTAGCCACTCTATCAGAAAATACTTTATTTGCAAGAAAAAAAATCCTTTTTCTTCAGAAAGTAAAAACGTTTATAAAAATTGGCTGTTTCATTCTTCTTGTAGAATTAATATCGAAAAGGTTTTCAAGGGTAAAAGTATTTATGTATACCTACTTCTTTCTTAATATTTTACGATTTAAATAGCACAAATGTACATTTATAAATTAAAAAACCTTTTGTACAATCCCGTACAGCCAAAATCATAATTTCCAAAGGATACACTCGTATCAAGATCTCATGGTCATTACATACCCCGAACTGGCGACACATACGTGCATCCATTGCTAAATATTCGTCGCGAAGTTCCAATTTATATGTACATTACACAGAAACAGTACAGTTCCACCGTTCACGTCCCGACATACTCTATTGGCATAACGAATGGGCACTCCTCTGCAAATTATGGCAAACTACCATAAACTACGTTTAAACTCGCACGACATATTTGTGTTTTGGCATAAAGTGATCCTGGAGATTATGTGCGCCACTAATTAATTTAAAAATTTATTGCTGGTTGTGAACCTTGTAAAGATTTTATTTGAAAATATAGTCGAAGTCGTAGGGAAAACTAGTTACCGAGATATGAAATTCCCGTGACTTAATTTGATGTCTTTGTAGTATTCAAAAACGTAATTACCTGTTTAACTTCGAAGCAATTAAATAAGCTCTGTTTTATAATGATAAAATTGAATAAGTAGTAGGAAACCTAGCATAAAACGTACAACTTTTAACTGCAGATACAAATCTTACAAAATTACTTTGTAAAACTCAACGCCCAACAGCAAAAATTTACCAACTCATATTTATTATTTATTCATTTAAATTGCAGAAATAAAACTGAATTCATACTCAGAAGACTTCAGCAATCAAATCAGCGTAGCTGGAGGTAAGAGTAACAACTTTTTATTTTACTTTATGTTTATGTTCCTACGAAATGTCGCGTCCCTCAAGATATTCTTTGTTTCAGCCAAGGGCTCTATACATATTTAATGACCTGATTTATGTGAACTCCTCGAATGAAATAACTCGAATTTTATTGGGGAAATAATAATATTCTTTGGTAAATGGCTAACTTAATTTAGAATCTTTGTTTTGGTCTTCAAATGAAGACCATCCACACACTGCTTACATTATTATTTTAATACGTAAGTCAGTATTTTGTGCGGATTCATGACAAGGTCGATACCTAGTTCTATAATGTTGGAGCCATATTCATACTCATGTCTAAATTATACAATTAACCTGTAAGTTGATTTCCAATTCAAATAAGTCAGCTGCATGACCATGCATAAATATATTGTCAATTGACAATATCAAATTTATCGGATCTGACAGAAAGATGGCGTCTGATTTATATTGTGATAACTGCATAAATACTATGCTAATTAAAAACTTATTATCACACTAAAATAAAAAGCTTATAAAGGCCGTTAATTTATACATAAATTATCATACTTATCTATCGATTAAGCCCACATTTAAGTTCCGCGCTTAAGGGTAGTTTTGGAGTTAAGGTTTTCTTTGAAGTTCATAGGACTGAGTAACAATATATGCTAACAAAAATACAAACTAATCTATAGTAATAAAATCAAAAAACTATAAGTCCAAAACTGCGCAAATCTACTAAATAATCATTCATAGAAGCTAAATACAAATATTAGTTATTGGTACTTATCGAGGTTATAACATTTACTTTATTTTAATAAGACCTCGTACCGACTTTTTAATAAAAAATGAAAAATACTTAAGAAACTTTATTAAAAACCATTTTTTTCCCACTAGGACTGACCGAACCGGCTAAGGGGAACTCTGCAAACAGCCAAGCCATCTGGACGTTGTTATTATTAACGACATACTTGTTCATATTCACGTAGTTTACATAACGACATGTAAATAAATGTTAAGATCGTTTTATGCTTTAAAAGTGGAACGTAATTCAATTACATGTTTCAATTGTTGTAAATATTAGACTAAGGATGTTCATTGTAAATTAAAGTACACAACGATGTAGATATCCTGATTATTAGTTCGTGTAACCGATGTTTCGCTTAGAACCGCCAAAATGGAAGTATTGTTTACATTTTTGTGTGTAAACTCATCTCTCGATTATAAGACTGTTTACAAAAAATAAAATGAAATGATAATAATGTACAGCGCCGTTTTACTCGCCCTACCCGTGTTTCAATGAGTTTTAAATTTGATATTTCAATATTGAAAGCTTATGAAAAGGTAAGTGGATGTTTACAGTTCTACCGGTTAATCTTTTTATCAGAATATTGGGTTTATTTTAATATTAATTGAGTATGCTCAATACAAAATGTAAGATATTTTATTGGACCTAAGTACATAGTTTGACATAATGTTATGTAATGTAATAATGTGTTACCTTGAAGAGACTTAGTTTATAATTAATGATTACATAATAACTCTGATTAGTTAACGAGGGTCGCATCGCGTCTGTTCATAAGGACTAATATTCTCAAGCACTATTTACTCAAAGTAATATTCTGGTTTGCCTTTAAAACTGCGAAAATGTCATTTGCACTCGAATAATTCACCTATTTATTTTCCACCCCGTCGCGCAGTCCTCCCACGCAGAAGGAGGGAAATGCAATTTTATAAAATATTCAGTTGCACCATTTTCGTTTTCGCCGGTCGAGTTGCAGCTGCGGTGTTCTTCTACTCTGGTTTGGTATAGAATGGTATTGTTTATGACAGCTTTATGTTATGACTCATTCTTTTTATGTTTCGTTCAACATGAATGTTTGATGTTTAATAAGCATGTCAACATTTAAGAAAGAACGAATGTTGTGAGTGGGAATTGCACAGCAAAAATGTTTTACTTATCTACCTACACTAATATTATAAAGAGGAAAACTTTGTTTTTTTTGTTTGTTGTAACGAATAGGCTCAAAAACTACTGGACCGTTTTTAAAAATCTTTCACCTTTCGAAAGCTACATTATCCACGAGTAACATAGGCTACATTTTATTTTGGAAAAAATATGTAGTCCACGCGGGCGAAGCCGCGGGCAGAAAGCTAGTGATTGATAATAGCACAATAGTTAGAAGCCGGTTGAGTTAACTGTGCACCTGGCAGCCGTGACGTCACATCGACGCTCTGGTACGAACGGGGCGAACGCGGGGAGGTGTGCGGGTGAGTGCGAGGGAGAGTCGCATTCCAGCGAGGTGCGCTATAGTTAGCTCGATCGGGTTGTATGTAACGTTTCGTTAGTTCGTTTCAGCCAAATGACGTCCACTGCTGGACAAAGGCCTCCCACAAGGTTTTCCATAATGAGCGGTCCTGCGCTGCCCGCATCCAGGCTCTACCCGCGACCTTTACCAGATCGTCGCTCCACCTAGTAGGAGGCCTGCCCACGCCACGTCTTCCAGCCCGTGGTCGCCACTCGAGAACTTTCCTGCCCCAACGGCCATCGTCTCCACGAGCTATGTGCCCCACCCACTGCCACTTGATTTTAGCAATTATTCTGCGACGAATGTAAAGTTTACAGTTCTAGTTAAAATAGTATTTTACACAGCTATAAATGAGTTCCTCTAATAGTAATTACAAAGGTATTTCTGTCGAATACCTGTCTACCTGGAAATTGAGTTTAAGCCGGATTAAACTAGCTGCTACTATTTTACAGTTGCGGTTTTATCATACCTAGAAATAGGAATTGTTTTGTGAGGTGTAAAGCGTGGGTAGGAATTTGTCTATTTGTGAATAGTGGACTTTTTGATTTGGTCCTGGATTCGATTTCCAGGGAAAAAAATCACTGACTAAATATTCCTTTTTTAGATGAGTAAAAAAAAGAGATTATGTTACCTAAATATTAAAAATGACTTATCGATAAAGCTATTCAAAGTTCACACGACAGACATATAGGTAATATCACATAATTTATGTATGGTAGTCTTGCCTTAAACTGAAACATTCTATAAACCAACTGTTTACCAAGTTACCGTAAAACGGCCACGATAACCGTATTACCGAGAAATATCTGCACCTTCAAGATCACTCCATCTTAAGAGCCATAACACACGATGCGTTGCGGCGCCGCACCGCAATGATTTCGCCGTATCCCGCGACTTGGCGCCGCATCGCTCTTATGCTCGCTACAGATATTTATATGTAAGCCACTTTCTGGCGGCTAATAAATATCGAGTGCGTCAAAAAAATCTGTGAAGATTTTTGTTCTTGAAAGTATTCGCTAGGGACGCTGTACAATCCGTCATACATTTAATGTCATTTTTTAAGTACCTACTCGATATCGAATACGTTTAATGTAAACTCGCACTACACCCCCTGATTTGGTCAGTGCGGCAACGGCACTACATCTGTACGATCGGCATACGCGGTACCGAAAGCTTACTAAAATAATACTCTATGAAGCTTATCGGACGCCTATATTTAAATGGAGTGTTCCTGATTAGCACGGCATACGCGGCAGCGGCGTGGCACAGACTTTCGGCTCTTGCGGCACAAGATTTCGGTACCGCGTATGCCGAGCGTGCTGTTGTCATGCCGCTGCCGCGTCGACCGCGTCGACTAGTCAGAAACCGCCCTGACGACGCAGCGACACCGCTCCAGGGTCGCACTGCCGCCGCAACGCATCGTGTCATTTTCTCTAAGACTTGTCTCGACGTGGCACAATTTCATAAAATATTCAGGTACGGCATTTTGTTTCGGCGCTCACGGGGAAATGTGCAGCTGGGACCGTGCATTCCACTTGCTGTCAACGGATTCGGTACAACGGGACAACAATTTGCAACCGACTGGGTGAAGGAGGGTAATGGTTTTTGAACTAAATTTCCTTGAAAGTGTAAGGTGATGCTTGTTTGATAGATTTTTACTTGGTGGAGATCATTTTTGTTGATTCTATGGTGACAAAAAATATCTAAATCTTTCTTGGGTTAAATTCCTGGCATTAAGACGAGTACATAATAGATTTTCCTTAGTACATAATAGATGTAGATAGTAAACATGGTCAGACATAAAAAAACACATTAAATAATAAAATTACAAGCTGTGAAACGCAAGTGTGCCTTATGGGTTTAATCAACCTAAGTCAGACGTACTAATTAGTTAATTATACGATAGAAGTTACCTATTTAGGTTATAATTTAATATTCGTTTCAAATAAACGAGTATACCTACCTACTTTTGATTCACCTCGAGAGGTTAATAGAATTATTTCATAAGAATTTTCAGGCCGTTTTTGAATACAAGCTCAACAAAATTCCAATTTACTTTTAAAACAATGAAACGAACACTTATAACGTTACGAATTCTATTTAACTTGTGAAGTATATTTTACCAATCTAATCCTGAAATCCCATTGGAGTATACCTATTCCTTGAAACTGTGCAAAGTTTCATATTTTTATTTCCAACGACTGGGCCTGTAATATCCATCACCGGGATTATTTTTTCCCTGACGTCTCCTAAGGGACGCGAACCCTGACCCTTTCCTACCGCGGAAAGTGAAATGTGGAAAGTATAACATTTTCCGAATGCTTATGGTGACAATCGGGACATTTGATTCAGTTACAGGATCTCCGCTGTGTTTTTATATTATTAGGGGTAGATTATTTTCTATTTATTTTATAAAAAGTAATATGGGAGTGGAATTTAATTAATGTAGGATTATTATAGATGACGGACGTAGGCATGACTGTAGCTGCAGCACCTTGAGTAGTTGTAATACACTTGTGCGAATTTGCAAAAATATAATATGAATAGTCATAGTAATAACAAACGTTTATGTAGTCGATAGTAAAATAATGCTTTCGTCGTTGAAAAAACAATTGTGCGTGTGGGTTCGTGAGATTGTTATGAGTATATTAAACCACATAAAATATCACCAAACTATTAACTACCAAATATTTTATTGTGATTGTGGTGAAAATGTTTGGAGGACTGACAACAGCTGCTGTTGTCAGTCCTCCAAACAATAATCAAAAGTTATGGTTTTCGTTTTCTTGATTCAGAGTAGTTTCCATTTGCTAAAAAGCCATGAAGTACAGTCAATTGAAGGTAAGGAAGAAATAACTCCTCATTTCTCCACAAATAATAATTGATTCTCCAGATCCTGTTTCCCAAAAGTACGGAATTGTACTTACGTGTCATTCGCAGCTCATCAAGTTTCCATTACTTGAACCGCTGCCAAAATGAGCCGGTAAAGAGTTGGCTTCTGCTGTCTTAGGTAATAACAGTTTCAAAGATAAGTCGTAGTAGATTGTTAAGTGGATTTTTAAAAGTCAATTTGATTGGTCACGGTAGATGTTCGACGACTAAATAAAAAATGTAACTTTACAGTCAACATCTTACCTCTATCTCTCACTTACTTCTATGAATATTTATGTAGGATATGAGTGCGAAACGGAACGTAAGGATGTGTGAAAGAGAAGGGAGAGTGTGTGAGTGTGACGTACGACGACGTGTAGACGAACGACGATTGTTTTGAATTATTATTTTTATTATTTTCTATCTCGGGCAAATAAATACGTGGGAATTCCTACATTTATGCCAATTTGGTCTATACTGCGGTATCTATAAAGTAGTACTTCGTTTTAGCCTGTAGCATGCTATTGGGTACGGGTAGTATCCAACGATTTTCAGGTTGTCTCATACGTTTTGGCGCGCTTTTATCAGCTGAGCGATTAGCCGAATGATGTCCACTGCTGGACAAAGTACTTAATACAAAAAAAAATCATAATTATTCAAATGCAACTGGTTGAAAAACAACTGAAATTTAAACAGGCTGTAATATACGCACATTGTTGCTGAAGCTATTTTTTAAAATCGTGTCATTAAATTACCAAAATCCACGCGAGCAGAGTTTCTAGTTTACAACAAAAAAATCTGATTTTCATTCTGACACAATACAGCCTGCATTGTATGTGTTGTAGGAACTTTCCAAATAAAACTTTATTTGTAACTTCTAAACAGTGCCAAATGCCCCATCATCAACAGGAGTCGGCCTG